CACCATTATCGTTGTCATCATCATCATCGTCATCATCATCACCATCATCATCATCATCATCATGGTCATCATCGTCATCATTATCATTGTCATCATCGTCATCATTGTCATCACCATCATCGTCATCATCATTGTCATCATCGTCATCATCATCATCGTCATCATCATCATCATTGTCATCATCATCATCATCATCATTGTTGTCATCATCATCATCATTGTCATCGTCATCATCGTCATCATCCTCATCATCATCATTGTCGTCATCATCATCATCATCATCATCGTTGTTGTCATAATCCTTGTCATCACCATTATCGTTGTCATCGTCATCATCGTCATTGTCCTCATCATCACTGTCATCGTCATCATCACTGCTAAAGCAGTGGAAGCGACGGGTGGCCAGCAGCCTTAGCATTTACCAAATCCCCGCTGTGTGCAAAGTTCTTCCCTCTGGGAAGATGGGCTTAGTGTCCTTCTCCCCACCCCCAGGCCTGAGGAGTTCCCTGTTTTCCTGAGTCCCCCCGGTGGGACTGGAGAGGTGCCTGTCTGACGGGCGCATGCTGGAGACAAGCCCACCTCTCCTCTGCCCTCCCCCACCGCCTCCTACCTGTCCTCCGTGAGCACCGAGGTAGGTAGGATGAGCAGAGTCGGTCCCTGCCCACTCAAGATTGGTTGGTTTTACTGCCTTTCCCTAGACATCCTTGTTTCTTGCATTTTTTTCCTAGCTGAACCTCACTTTTCTGTTGGCAGCCTACCTTTGGATGTCTTAGAAAAAAAACAGACGTGCCAGTTTGTTTTTCACGCCCAGGCTCCTGTGCTGCTTCATCGACGGGCTGTGTGTTCCACGTCTAAGTTCAATTATGGGTGGGGGCGAGGCACCGAGTAATGACGGGCCTCCTTCCAAGTCCCAGATCCTTTCCTAGGTGGCTGCTATTGAATGTGAGCTTTTTTTTTTTTTTTTTTTTTTTTTTTGCCTTGAAGCCTTAGGACTGGGAAGGTGGTGGGGTTGCTGCCACGGGGCAGGGAGTGGGACTGGAGAAAAGTGGGGTTCCTTGCGGCCCTGACACCACACGGCTCCATCACCTCTGCCCACCGCGAGCAGGGCCCCGGCACCTTCTGGAATCAGGCATTCGTCAAGGGCTGGGAATGCTGTGAGGTGGGTTCCTGGGGGAGCAGGTGCTCGGAAGACAGACCGGGCATGATGGATGCCCCATTCCAGACTGGTTCCCCGCCCCCCAGCTTCTCCACCTCCATTTTTTTTTAAAGATCTCTGCAGCCTTAAGCCCCACAGATGTCCAGTTGGTATATCCCTGAGTGAAATGACCAGCAGACAGGGCGGATTTCATAATGTACAGGGCTCAGTGCAGACAAAAAAAATGTGGCCATGGGCAGGGTGGGGAGACCAGTCTCCCCTTTCTTTGGGCTTGCTGCTGCAGCCTGTGGTGGGCAGGTGGCCCCCCCAAGAGATTGTACCCTTCACACCCTCAGCACACAGACCAGGGGTGGCCAAGAGGCCCCCTCTGAGCCACCAGCACTTGAGCCACAGCCCCACCAGCCCTGGTGGGATGCTGCAGGGTATGCACCCAGCCCTCCCCTCCCTGCAGCTGGGCCTGGGCCCCCACCCATGGGACCCTTTCTGCCATCTGGAGACTAGGAGGATGGTGGGAGGTGGGCAGGGCAAGGGAGACCCTGCAGTGGGGCCAGCCGGCATGGGGGTGGGGAGCAGGTGTGGAAAATCCCTTCTGGGGAGGTGGTAGGAGGCTGTGCCACAAGGGAGCTGAGGCCCCCAGCCCTGGCACCTCCTTCATTGCCCCATCCAGTTTTAGTTGCAAAACACAAGTTCAAAGATAAAAATATTGAGAATTGAAGCAGAGCATTAAGGCCAAGCAGGAAGCCCAGACCGTGAGGCCTGCAGCCACACAGGACCCTGACCTCCCGAGGGTCCTGCTGGACGGCAGATTCCCGGGAGAGAAGACCATTGGCTCAGTCGGAGGCCTGGGTCAGGGATGGGGCGGGAGCCAGGCCGGCAGCTAAGTCATCGATACAGGCTGTTGTTGGGGGGTTTGAGCTTGCACAGTGGGGCACAGGTCCATTAAGCGGATGATGGGTGCTTCACGGGGCGGGGGGTGGGGGTGCTGGGGGCTTGGCTGGCCCAAAGATAGCCTTCCTCTGGGTGCACTTGCCAAATAAAATTAATAAAATTCAGAAACCAGTTCTTCGACTGTCAAATAAGAACAAAATCTACAAATGCCTAGGGATAGAAAAATTTGCAAGATGCTTTAGAAAGGTGCTTTAGGTTCCTGGAAGAGGAGTCCACCCAGATACCATCGACACGGTGCGTGACCAGTGGATTTTGACCATAGGGCTGGGGAGATTGGCGGGAGGACTAGATGCCCCTTAAATCCCCCCCTAAGCCCTAGCTTTTGTTGCTCTTGTTTTGGTCTATGTTGCAGAATTGCCGTGCTGTGTATCATGAGAATTTAAAAAAAGAATTTCTTTTCCATTTCTCCATAATACACAAGTCATTTCTTTTCCTTGTAAAGGAAAAAAAAAAGTGTTTTTGTTTTTGTTTTGTTTTGTTTTTTCCCAAGTGTCTCCTTAAAGGGGGAAGATCTAGGAGAGAGAAGGAAGGAGAACCTGGGCCATCTTTTAAAGTTTATCCCTTAAGATACAGACCAAGCAATTTTTACCAAATGAAGAAACGTCAATGAATTTAGGCGCCCCGCATCCCCTTCTCCCCTCTACTACATATCCTGTCTCTTAATCTTGATTTCTTAAAAGTTCAAAATGCTCTTTAGCACCCAGACAGTACCTATACTCAGCAAATGCTCATTAGCATCTGCTGTGTTTGGGGCACTTTCTCAGAGGCACGGGCACCAACGTAAGAAATGATCCTCACCCCTAAGGACCTACTGCACAGGTTATTCATTTCTTTGGTTAACTCATCCTGTAACCTGGACGAGGCTTTTGTAAGTCTCTGTCGTGGTGCCTCCCGTTCTCCTCCACCCCTGCCCTGTGGAACCACAGAGATGGAACAGGCACCCAGGCTGCCTTTAGAGGGAGGCTTGACCCCATCCGCCCGTGCATCGTGGGAACGTGAGCTTTCGGAGGGCTGGGAAGCCGTTTTGGAAGAAGCCTGGGACATCTGTGCTGGCGTTAGAGGTGGTGACAGAGAGTCATGGCATCGGGAGCCTCCGCACGGAGCCCCCAGGGGTGCCCTGAGCAGCTCCCTGCCTGGGTGAGAGGGCCCCATGCAGGGACTTGAGGCCTCAGGTGCTCAGAGACGTGCAGGTGGAGTCATTGCCATCTGGAAGCGCCTCCGTAACCCTTTCCTATCACAAAGCCTGGCTTCCGATGGTCTACGTTGGGTGCCGTGGTGCTTTCTTGCTGTTGGACCCAGAAGCTCCTGGGATTCGTTGTCTTGGCTGGAAGGTAGAGAACACAGTTGAGGTTTCCCCTTGACTGCCTGTTCCTTCCATAGTTCTTTGTGAAGCAATTGATTTTTTTTCTTTTGTCCTTCGACAGACTTGGTGTTCTCCTCTAAGACGTCACTCTAACTTGGGTTTGGGGTTCCATCTTGAAACGAAACAGTGGCCGACTGGTTTTTGAAGTTAGGTCATGTCTTGTGAATTTTAATAGGACCCGTGAACTTTGGTTTATATGTGTGAGTCCCAGAAATATGATAGTTCCTCTGATAAAATATTTTAGGTGACTTGATGTAGGCCCATTTGTTACAGACCCTCTCTACCTCCTACTCTATTTGTGAAGATAGACGGAAAGAACAACTATGATCATCATTGCCCATTACCGGGGAGCACCAAGGACACCAAAAACCGTGTGTGTGCGTGTATTTATAATGACTGATTTTTACACGAACTTTATGATATTGCTGGTACGGTACCATTTTATAGATAAGGAACTCAAGAATCAGGGAGAGTAAGGCCAAGATCACACAGCTAGAATGTGGCCGAGCAGGAATTTGAACCCGTCTGATATCCAAGTTTTTTTTGCCTCTCTGCTATGCATGCTCTTGTCCTCATTGCAACAGGGTTTTAGGGCTTTATAAAGGAGAATAGTAAGAAATGCACTGGGTGTTTTGTAGGATACGTATCACCATGGGCCTCTTACCCCATAAGCATACACCTTTGACGGTCTGATAACATGAGGTGAGCTGGAGAGGCAGCAGCGCATCCTTGCTCTCGGGGCTTCTGTGACCTGTGGAGGGGACGCACCACTTATGGGACCAGCTCTGGCCCTTCAAGGGGAGGGAGGGGTCTGGGTGGGAAAACCCGCTGGAAGGCAGTGAAGTAGAGTGGAGAGAGCATGGCTCCTGGTGCCAGGAGGATGTACCCCTTGTCCTGAGGCAGTGTCTTCCCTGACCATCTGTAACCAGACTATTGGGAGGGTTGGAATTAGGTGAAATGGAGGAGATAAACCCTCTGACATACGCAGCACACTCCGCAGTTGTTCGGTGCGATTGCAAAAGGGCTTGACCTCCTACGCCCTTTCCATAGCTTCCCATGCACGTGCTCCCTGACGGACACATACCCCCAGCTGCGTAGAGTTTTGCACATAGTCTCTTTCATGTTAGCGTGAGAAACCCTAAATCTATCTTTTAATAAAAGTATTCTCTCTGCGTAATTTTCTGTTACCTCAGCGGTCCCTTTCCTGGGTTTAGATAAAGGGCTTGAAGGACTTGGGGTGTCAGCCAGAGAGAGGCCAGCCGGAGGAGTCAGCCAGGGATGGGGCACGGTGCCTCCTTCCTGCACGGAGAGATGGGGCGGCGGTGGGCTTTGGCTCTTGTCCCCCTCTTTGCCATGGGATGTCTCACCGACTTCTCCTTCTGTCCTTCTTCCAAGAGGACAAAAGGCTCCCCAGGCCTGGAGGCATGACTAGCCCCCAAGTGCCCAGAACCCCACGCCCTCACCCACTGGACGGGGAAGAGGTCTTGTCGGTCTCGAGTAGCCCAACCCTTGTCTTCTTTGTTCTCTTGACAGAATCAGCTTCTTGCAAAAGGCCTGTTGTTTGTGGAGGAGAAGATTAAGCTGTGCGAAGGCAAGTACAAGGCCCCCCTCAGACGGTGGGCCCTGGGGCTCGGCCTCAGACGTTTGGACAGCGGGAAGCCTTCTCCCCAAATGTGGGGGACTCCTGGGGAGGTGCTCCCCTGCCTGTGTTTCCACCAGCTGGGTGGCCGCCCTCAGCTTGGAGTTGGCCGCTCATGGCAGCACAAGTTGGATCTGCACTTTGAGAAGTCGGGGGGTGGTTTGGGGGGTTCTTCTCAGAGATCTCGTCGAGGGCTCTCGCAGGAGGTGTGCTGTGGAGGGATGAATGCCGTGCTCTGCTCTCTGGTCTGCTCTGGGCTGTTTGCAGTTGCCTTTTTTTTCTTTCTTTCTTTCTTTCTTTCTTTCTTTCTTTCTTTCTTTCTTTCTTTTTTTTGCATCTTTCTTGAGGTCCTATATGACAGGAGGCCCCTGCCCACTTGGGGGACATTATCCTAAGCAGGTACCTGCTGATTGTACAGGCAGAGGGAGATTTCCTGGCCTTCAAAGGTTTTAGAGCCTGTGGGACAGGATAAAAAGGTGCTGAATGTGGACGGGCGAGGGGATGAGGGCAAGGATCGGCCAATCCTGTGACTACCAAGCTGCCACCAAGGTGGTGGATCCTGATCTTAGCTGACCACCTGTTTCTTGAGCAAGTTTCTAGTTTCTTTGAGCCTTTTTTTTTTTAAGCATTTTTAAAATGATCGAATGGGGCCAGGGAGGATACGGAGCATAATTGGCATAGCACCATTATCTGGTCCACAGGCTGGTTCCCTCTTTTTTTTTTTTTCTTTTTTTAATCCTACTCTAGCCTGGAGACTTCTATCTGTAGGGCAAGTTTATTACTAGATGGAGGCATTGCAGGCAGGACAGCATGGGGTTTCTTTTTGGTTTTTCGGGTTTTTTGCCCCCATTCCCTGGGAAAGAGACTCTTATCTGGTGTAGCATCTCCTAGAAAGACGAAATAGGAGACAAATGAGAACTGACGCTGGAAGGGTCCATTGCCTGGCACACGGCAAGTGCTCAGCAGACCTTTGGAAGGATAGAGGCTAGGAATTAGCCTCTGTATATTCGAGAGCTGACTGAGCCTGTAGACTTGTTTTCCTTCAATACAACTGTATTCAGGTTTTTCCAGCCTAAATGCTCACTAGCCCAAGGCCTGGTTTATTTTTATTTTTATTTTTTTTTGAGAGAGAGTGAGCGTGCGTGTGCACACCTGCGGGGACGGAGGGAGGGGGAGAGAGAATCCTAAGCAGGCTCCATACCCAGCGTGGAGCCCGACGCAGGGCTTGACCTCACGGCCCTGAAATCATGACCTGAGCTGAAATCAAGAGTTCGACGCTCAACCGACTGAGCCGCCCAGGTGCCCCGCAAGGCCTTAGCTTTCAGCGCCTGGCTTTGACCAGAAGTAGGTGCCCCTTCCGCGTTTTGGGGTCAGGCGGGTCCACAAACATGGAGGGTGACTGCCTCACTGGGGCGGGGGCTGGGGGGAGAGGAGCACGGTCTGTGGCCACGCTATTTGCCCGTGAGTCATCTGGGAGGGTCAGGACGTGCTCCTGGAAATGTGGAAAACCAGCTTCACGATGGAGATACTGAGCAAAACGGGAGATTGAAGTGCTTTAAAAGGGAAGCTCAGTGCCTCTCTTTCAAGTGACACTCGATGTAAACACATTTGGAGTGAAAGCTCAGGAGTGGAGAGCTGAGCCGCGCGGCGTAGGCGAAGGTCATCCAGGGTCCTGTGCGTCTGCCCCAAAGCAGGCTGGCGGGGCACTGGGCCCCGTGTTCTGGGTCCGCTCCCGTCCTGGGGTCTGAGCAGCACCTCTGCACACCCACGGGGCACAGGGTCTGTGCGGGAGCCTCGAAGGCCCCTCCTGACCTTGGGCAGGACGTCTCCACTTCTGTAGGGACGTACTACGTCTCCAAGCAAGATTGTACTGGGCCAAACGGATTTTCTTGCCGTAAAATGCAGGTGGGACACAGCTGATGGGCTCCACCCCGTCGCTGACCAGACCTTGCTTTATGGAGCTGATGGTTTGTGTACGTGTGCCCGCCTGATGGGGAGGCCGCAGGAAGAGCTGGGGCAGCTCTGACACACATGTCACCCTCTCGTGGGCAGGACCTGGCCTGTTACTTCCACTCATAACCCCCAGAGCTTTAGCGACTGTGGCCAGAGGGGGTTTCTCCTTCCCCTTCTGTATACGTGCGGCGATCTGAGCTCCCGTGGACGTTTACAGGATGGTTTCTGTGGTGGGGTCATCTAGAACCTTCCATCCGGCCGCCCTTCATCTTCGCCGGGAGCTGAGTCCTTATGGGCTCTTTCTGAAGCTGACGTCCCGTCCCTGTGACGCTGTCGTCCCTGGGGCTAGCCTGTTTCGTTAGCCGGTGCCCGTCTGATGTTCTTGTCTGAACGCTTTCCAAAACTTGCATTACTCTCGTGCGGTTTGAAGCCGGCAGTTGGGCCCAGGTTCCTGGGCGGCGGGGGCGGTGCCTTCCTGCCGCCGGGCTGGGGGTGCCCTCGTGTGCCGCAGGGTTCTCGCCCCCTCCTTCCGTGTCGGAGAGGCCTCTGCTTGCCTTCCTCCTGGAAGGCCTAGGACGCAGGCCATCAACCAGTGGAGAAGCTGGAAGGGTCCTTCCTCCCGGGGCTGGGTCACCTTGGTTTGGGGGTACCGGGATGAGCTGACGTCCCACATGTTCCTTCTGACCTCCCTGACTCCTCCCTGCAGCAGACTAGCATAGCCTGTGTCGGAAAAGGTTTGTTTGTTCAGACCCTGGCTGACTGTCAACGGTGCACCAGGGGCTTCGCTGGGTGCTGGGGGCGTGGTGGTGACCGCAGCCGTTGTAGGATCCCGGGCCCTCGTGGGGCTCACAACCAGCGCTGGCGGCAGACATTAATCAAATCATCAAATACAAAACCGTAACCGCAACAGCTGCCAAGAATACAGTCTGGGGGAGGGCGGTTGGCTGTAAAGCTGTGCTGGAGCTAAGAGGAGGAGGACAGGTGGATGTTGGGCAAGCAAGCGAGGGGAGGAACGGTCTAGGCCAAGGGAGCAGCACGTGCAAAGGCCCCGTCGTGCAGAGGAGCATGGTGAGCCTGAGGGGCTGAGACAAAATCCACAGGTAAGGGACTCCAAGCAAGTGTGACCCGCTCCCTGTGAGGGAAATGAGTGGGCGCTGGGGGTGTGCGTGGCCCTCTGACCTTTCAGAGTCCGCATGTCCTCAGCCCTGGGCATGGCTTGTCCTGCCCTCGCTCTGATCTCTCTCTCCAGCCACTGCTTTTTTTTTTTTTAAGATTTTATTTATTTATTCATAAGACACAGAGAGAGAGAGAGAGAGAGAGAGAGAGAGGCAGAGACACAGGCAGCGGGAGAAGCAGGCTCCACGCGGGGAGCCCGACGCGGGACTCGATCCCGAGTCCCCAGGATCAGGCCCTGGGCCAAAGGCGTCGCTAAACCACTGAGCCACCCGGGCCGCCCCAGGCACTGCTTTTATTGTCCATTAAATTAATAGGCGGAGGACGCTAAGCGACCCTTCCCAAGATCCATTTGGCGGGCCTGGCAGTGTTTGGCCAAGCACCTCTCGCTGTCTCACGCTGGCTGACCCAGTTTCTCCGCCTCAGCCACGCACGAGGGTGCTCAGGCAGCTCTGTCATCTAGGTCATTAGGCAGCAGCCGTGTTCGGGCCCCTCTCTGCCACCGCCTGCCTTCCTGCAGGTGCGGAGTCCCTGGCACAGCCTTCGGGTGGCGTTGGCTGACCCGTGTACCTGCAGCCTGGGACGGGCGCCTGACCACGGTCGGCCTTCTGGGCCCCGGGGGTGACCGGAGGCACAGCGCCGGGACATGGGTCCTATGTTCCCCACCCCCCACCCCACCCTCCGCCTCTGGCTATTGCAAAGCAGTGGGTGCAAGTGACAGTTTCTAGGCTCTCCTTCCCCAACCCCCTGCTCCCATACTGACAGCTCAAATCCAGAGTAAAAACAAAAAACAAACAAAAAAACAACAGTGTCGCCGTGATTAGAAAATCAAAACAGAAAATAACCGTGCCTACGATCCTCCCAGATTAAACTGGTCAGGAGCGCGGGTTCTGGAATCCCAGCCCTGCCCTCTAGACGCCTGGCCTCGCTGAGCCTGTGAAATGAGGTCATGACGTTGGCTCATGAAACGTCCCATTGATAAGTACTTGCGCCCGGGGAGGTCGCAACCACTCCCACTTGTCATGGGATGTCCAGACCTCCCTTTCTGGATTGGGGGCGGGGAGAGAAGGCGCCTTTGCCTGTTTTCGGTAGCCTTCCCACCCAATCCCACGTCGGCATGTAGTAACGCCCCGCAGAGCGAATGCAGGCGATGAGCCTCCCTTGCGTCCCCGTCCCCGTGCTGCACGTGACACGGGACTGCCCCTAACCTCTCCCGCCAAGTAATGACAAATTCTTTTCTCTCTTTCTCCCCTCCCGTCTTCTCGCCCTCGTGTAGGTGAAAGTCGCATTGAGGTTCTGGCCGAAGTGTGGGACCACTTCTTCACTGAGACCCTCCCCACCCTGCAGGCCATATTTTACCCAGTTCAGGTCAGTCTCACTGAGGAATGACCTCGCGCCGGCCTCGGCTCCCCGTCTCCTGCCGGGGCCTCCTGGGGGCCTGGGGAGAGGCAGGCCGGTGGGCGCCGGGGCTCTGTGGGGCTCTCTGGTCTATGTTTAGCATCGGGCCTCAAGCAGGGCGAGAGTGGCCTGCACAACCAGCAATTTGCAGGCTCCCGTCGCCCTCCGGGTTCTGAGTGTGGCTGTGTATTCTTGGAGTGGTTTGCTTCTCCCAGCTTTCCAGAAAGTAGAGAAGATGGGGCAGGGAGGCTTTTTTGTTTTTCTTTCCTGCGTCTTTCCTCCTTTCCTTCCCCCTCCCTCCCTTTTTTGAAAGCCCAAATGTAAAGCAAAGCTCCTTTGGTCCCAAATTGTGGGAAGGGGGTCATGGCCCCTCGCCGTCCGTGAGGGGTTCCTCGGAGACGAGAAGCCACGTGATGGAGCGGAAAGAGCGCCAGGCTCCATCAGGAGGTGGGCTCGGGCGAGCAAGCCCAGCGCTCTGCGGATAGCTCCGTTCCGTCTGCAGAATGTGCAGTTTCAAGTGAAAAAAAAAAAATGAGCAGCATCCCTTTAGTGTCTGCCTTCTGTGACCTGAGCTCATTCTCACACTTGAGTTCATTTCCTTCCACCTTCCTGCAGAGGCTAATAGCAGGGCCGGTCGCCGCCAGGCCGGGGTGGACACCCCCGAAGGCAGGTTGGCCCACAGATACTCGTCTCCCAGATGCACATTCGTAGGCGTCTCACGTCCACACCGCCCGCCCCCGGGGCGAAGGTGTGAGTAGATCGGCTTTGTTGGAGCGCGGGTGTGGGGCCCTTAGCAATGGCATGTGCCAGACACGAGGGCCCGTGTGCTTTGTTCGCTCTGAGCGGTGTTTGTGGCAGCTTGGAATTCTTTTAAATCTATACCAACATCTAGAAGCTCAGAGCTTCTGCCTACAGAGTCCATTTCCCATTTCTGGCCTGCCCCCTAACCGCCCCAGTAGAAGCTCTGGCCTGCGGCCCGCCGCTCTCATCCTCCCATCCTCAGCTCCTTTCCGTGCCCCCGTGAGCTGGTCTGCAGCATTCATGGGGACGGTTCAGCTCCGTACCTGCAAACGTCTCCCCTCCCTATAACGGCCAATCGTAGGCCAGCGCCGGGGCCCAAGAAGAGGCAGACATGGGAGGTCAGGTTGCCAGATTTAGCAAATTAAAGTATAGGATGCCGCGTTAAATTGGAATTTGAGGTGAACGATGAATAATGCAGTATCTGGAACATACTTCTGCCAAAAAATTATTCACGTTCAATGGTTTATTTGGCATCCCTAGCAGAAGGGTCTCTCTTAGGTCTCTCTTAGGATGCTGTGGGCCGGGAATTCCAAGGGGCAGGGTGTCCAGGTGGGTCTGGAAAGGGAGTGTGGCATCTACATGGACTGGGCCTGGTCCCGTTCTCAGATGGCCCAGGAGGGCCCTCATGGGCACGTGTCCAGGCGGGAGCCCGAAGATGTCACCCGTCCTGCTTCTCTTGAAGGCTCAAAGCTCCGGTGATGGTTGATCCTGCCCCTGCCCGCCGCCCTCCTCGCACACACGTGGTTTCCTGGGTGCCGCTGCTGATGCAGGCCCGGAGTTAGGGCCTCTCACTACCGGTGGTAACACTCTGGGGTGTCTGCCCACCCAGCTCCGTGCTTCTTAGAGGCCCCCTGTGTGCAGGTGTCCGCGTGAGACCTGCTACCTCCTGGCCACGTGCGTGTCGGAGTACCTACTATGTTCACGCGTGCAGGGAGCTTGCCTTCCTCGTCCTACCTTAAAAAGCGAAAGGGGGGACCCGGGACGTGAAGAGAGGGCCCCTCTGCCCATGAGGTCAGAGGTCAGTGCCCAGTGCTGGCATGTGGGCCCCGACATAGAAATGGGGTAAAGGGCCAGGTGGGCGGGGAAGGGGGTTGACGCGGGCCTGGAAGGCACTGGCGATAGGTGGCGGTGGTCGTCGTGTGCGATTCTGGGGACTGGGGAGGGGGCAGGCGGGGAGGGGGAGATGTGGGATGGCAAAACTGCTCCTGCCTGTGTTTCTGTGAAACCCTGAGGACGTGTGGGAAACGCAGAGCTCGCCTGAGCCTTGGCATCCCGTTTGGCAGGTGCCTTTACCCCGAGGGCGGCCCGTTTCCGGTGTGGGCTGAGCGTATACGTGCACAGGAGGGTCGGGGAAGGGGATCCCCCCCTTTCTCCATCTGCTGTGGGAAACTATGGAAGAGCTCTGAAATCGAACGGTTGAGGTTGGAGATCCAGCTCGACCCGGGGGAGGGTGCCGTAACTCTGGGCTTGGGGTGCGCGTCGGTGGAGCGGGTTTTGGGACACCACCTGTCTCGAGGGGTGGGGGTTAGGGGCGTGACTTCCATCTGAGGTCGCCGGGTCACGCCTCGCACGGGCAGCTCTTGGGATTCTTGGTTCTTTTCGTCCTCTGCCCACACCCTACGGGGTCGGACCCGTGCCTGTGTTTTCCTCCTCTGCCCGGCATGCAGTAGGTGCTCACGTATTGAACAGACAGAGGAAGGAGCAGCCTTGAAAGTGTGTGGGGGGTGATCTTTTCTCTGTTTCCCCCCATCTTCCACTGTCTCCCTCCTTCCCGCCCCCCCCCCGACCCCCATGACAGCCTCCATTTTAGTGTCATCTTGAGTCGCTCGGGCAGATGGAGTCACACCTTCTCTCAAACGAAGCTTTCACTGGGAAGGACGGGCCCCGTCTTCGACTCTGGCAGCACCACCCCCCCGGCCCCCACCCCGAGTTCTGCGGACACCTCGTCCTGTCCCATCCTGGCCCCCTGTACTCACTGCTTGTCCCGGGCCCCGCGTGGTTGGCGGCGCTCCCAGCGGGCTCTCACCTCCCAGCCCTGCTCCCTGTCTTCTCTCCAGGGCCAGGAGCTGACCATCCGCCAGATATCCCTGCTGGGCTTCCGCGACCTGGTCCTGCTGAAGGTGAAGCTGGGTGACTCGCTGCTGCTGGCCCAGTCTCAGCCGCCCTCGTCCATCGTCCAGATGTTGCTCATCCTGCAGGTGGGTGAAGGCCCCACCAGAGCCCGCCGGGCCGGGGGAGGGAGAGACCTGGGGGGCAGAGGGGGGGCCCACGACCTGGGCACCTTAGCCGCACTCGTAGGTAGTCGTTCAGTGTGGCCATTCGTGTTCCTTAGCTGGCGTGTTGGTTTGCTGTGCGTCCGTTGAGCCCCCGTGAGGCCCCTGGGCCTGTGCTCCATGCCGGGATCCCAACGGCGGGCTCGGCGGGCCAGTGCAGCAGGGGCTTGTCCTGGGAGCCGACACCCTGCCTCCTCGCCCGCCAGCCACGAGCCACAGGTGACAAGAGCTCACTGTAGCTTAGCTCAAGGCAACCAGGGACTCACCGGAAGGTTCCCCGGGGCAGGTGGGCATCCCCGAGACATGACAGCCAGAAGCGAGACTGTGTCAGGCCCTCAGGCTGCCAGCCTGCTGCCACTTACTGATCTCCTCTTTGTCTCTCTCTGATGCCACCCCTCCTGGCCTGCTGGTGTCGCTTGGACCTGGTGTCTCCCTCCCTCCCTCCCTCTGCAGACCTCATTCATTGCTTTGGTCTGCACCTGACCGAACGTGACATCGCACGCACAGCTCACGTGTTTCCACCAGGAGGTGACCCAGGTGGTCGCCTCCTAATTCCCGTTCGGAACCAACAGTACGGACGCCAGCTAACGCTAAGGTGCCCGGCTGTGTGCCGGGTGCAGGTGGGGGCCAGGACTTGGTGTGCTGTTTCCTGAATCGGATCATCCAAATGACGGCTTGACGGGGTAGATAGTATCGTCAACCCCACTTTCCGGATGCGGACACAGAAACCCGGGAAGCGTGTGTGTTTGTCCAAGGCCCCTCAGCAAGGGGTGGTAGGATTCGGAGCCGTATACACTCGGGGGGAGGAATTGGCTGGGTCTGGCTCCGGCTGCAGACTCTCCTTTGCCAGTCAGCCATGCCCTTGGGTCGGGTACCATAAACGTGGCCTCGGTGAGCCCAGTCCATGGATGGGGGTGCACAGTTCCCAAGAAACAGAGGTGTGGCCCAGGGACACCCCCAAAGGGGGCTGCTGAGCCTCTACCTCTGTAACGAGTTCAGATGCCGCAGCATCAGGGCTGAGCTGTTCCCCAGGGCGGCGGGTTTCATCCTGGGTCAGGCTGGCAGTGACCACACCGCCCTCCTGGGGCCTCGGTGTTGCCCTCCCCCAGCTGCTGTTCTCCTGGGGCCCTCTAAGCTGGCCCGCCCTTCTGGGCATTGTCCCCCTTTCCTGAGGCCAGAGAGGAGCAAGCGTTACCCTACAGGATGGGGGTGCACTGAAATGGCTGGAAAGTCAGCTCGGGGTGGTGGTGGGGGCTGGGGGCGCGGGTTTCTGGCGGGAAGGAGAAAGAAGGGGTTCGGAAAGCATGTGTGTGGCTGGTGCCTGAGAAGCACAGAGTAGAGCTTGCATCCCGAGGAAGGAGTCTAGCAGATGACCTCGCTGGGGTTCAGATGGGAAGACTGCGGAAGGACGTGGGGCATCCCCCCCATTTCCACATACGATATTGTAGGGATGACAGGTGGTTCCTTTGTTGCTGCTGCTGTTTGGTTTTGTTCTTTTGGAGGGAGAACGGGGGTGAGGGCCCCCATGTGCTGAAAGGAGACCATGACGGCCTGTCTCTCTGCGAATGGAGCCCCCTGCCCCTGCGCTCCCACACCGGGCAGCCCAGCAGCCTATCAGGAGGCTGCCACCAGCCCCCCGAAGCCCCCGGGGTCAGCCTGCAGCCCAGGAGATGCCTCCTCCGGCCAGCCCAGCCCGCGGCCCCTGTTGCTCTCCGTGGGGTTCCCGGGATCGTAGGAGAACTGCCGAACCTGGACCCTGGCCTCCGCTCCTCCCCAGCCCCCCAGAGCCCCGGAGCCCCTGGCCACGCTGGCCACACAAGGCTTTGTCCCCATGTCCCCTCTGCTGAGAAGCGGCAGGTCAAGGCCGGCCCTGTGGGTCCCCTCCCGCCTCTTCTGCCCCCAGCACCCAGCCCTGGGAGGCGCGTGGTCGGTGCGGACTCCTCGTCTGTTCGGGGAGCGACAGCGCCGCGCGTCAGGGCCTCAATGGGACTGTCCCCAGGTCTCTGGCCTCCAGCCCGCTGATGGGGACCGTCATGCAGGGCCTTCCCTCTTGGCCGGGGAAAGGCAGTACAGGCAGAGAAGCTCCGTGGTGGGGACAGGTGTCTGGGAAGTTGAGCAGGGGATCCGTCCCTGTTTCTCCCGTTGTCACAGACGAGGTGTAGGTTGAGACGGGTGGCAAGCCAGCGGAAGGTCACGTCCTCCTTTGTGGGTCTGTCACCCGTTCCGCAGCCCTTGCTCCATCTGCCTGCCCACCTGCCCTGCCTCCCTCCTCCCGCGCCCCCGGTCCCAGGGGATAGCACAGAAGCGCCCAAGAGGCTCCGCTTTAATGGGGTGGGGGACACTTGGCATCACTTCCCTGCGGGTCTCGTGGGACAAGACCGTGGCTTTCCTCCCGGAGCAAGAGCCTCGGCTTTCCTCCAAGTGTGACAGCGACCCACGGGGGACTTTGGCCAGTCCAGGTCTACCTTCCTGAGGGGCAGGGCGGCAGCACCTGGGCCTAGATGCAGCCTGTGGCTGGCGCTGCCCTGGGACCATTCCCAGCGGTCCTTAGAGCTGCCCCGTCTCCCCCCAGGCCCCCACCTGCCCCAGTGCCGCGGGAGCCGGGGCTCATTTTTCCTTCCCTGACGCTCGCCGGGCGACAAGAGCCATTTTCTCAGGCCTTCACCTCCCCTTTCCGGCGCTCTTCCACATGTCCCCGGACAAACCCCTCACGCCCCCCCCACGTGCAAGGGGCTCGAGTTCCCTGCTCCGGGTTGTGCGCTGCTGCCCCCAGGCTGAGCCGGAGCCAGAGATCTTGACCGTTGTAGAATCTGGCTCCTCCCAGCAGGTGCGCGCAGGCGCTGAGATCATTCTGGAATGATGCCTCCAGAGGGGGCCCCTGTGCCATCACCCAGGGTCCCGTGCTTGGTTCATTCTCTCCCATCACTGTTTGAAATGCTTAATCATTTTTGAACAAGGGACCCCACCCACGTTTTCATTTTGCCCTGGGCCTTGCAAACACGTGGCCGGTAACCCCCTCCGCTGCCCCCGTCCGCTTGCGGTGCCAGGCAGCTGTCACAGCAGCACCACATCTGAGGCCCACCGCGGTCGGTCCTGCATCTCCTCCGCTCTGACCCCATCCCGGCCCCGACCCTGCATCCTCTTCCCCCGAAGTCCCCTTCCCAGGCCTCCTTTGCGTTGCCTTAGGCCAAGCCCCCTCCTTCCCAGCACCCCCAGCCCTCCTGTCCCCGCGGGACGGAGCCCCCACAGGGCAAGTCGCAGCCTGTGCGCCCGGGAGCCTGCACCTCACGCAGCCATCCCCACCCCGTGGGATGGGCCCTTCCCGCTTCACCACCCCCCACCTCCCCCATCATCTTTTCCTCCAGTCCCGGAAAAACGCCAGCACGGTGGGGAGTGTTAACTTTTTAAGTGAAGGTGATAGGACCCCTATTCCCATTTGAGAATTTGGTGGGGGCATCGATGGTGTTGGGCTGAGCACAGCCCCGCAGAGGCTTTTCCCTCTGCTCCCCTGCAGCCCCTCTGCACAGAGCAAGGCTTCACGCTCTTTCCGGGGAGAAACTGGGTGTCGTAGGAGCCCGCTGGGCTTCTGGAGAGCCTTGGGCGCCTCTGGTCTCCTTTTTGGTTTTGGCCGTTGTCATTTGCGTCAGTGGGTGTCTGCTCAGACTTAGCCCCGAGCACGCCTGTTGTGCCGGGCCTTTGAGCTGACTCTTCATCTCAGTGCTAAGTGGGTGTCTAGCTCCACAGGGACCCTCCCTTTCTCCTGCTCTTCTGGATCTTTCCCATTTTCTGCCCCCTTTTCTCTTCTAGCCTCCTTAACAAGTGGCAGAAAGGTGGGCTCAGGGCCCAGACAGCCTGCCTGCCTCCCAGGCCTGGGCTTTGCCACTTGCCCAGCTGAGCTTTGCCGGGCAGGTTCCTTGAGCTCTCTGGGTCTTCATGCTCTCATCTGTAGAAGGCGGATGCTGAGGGCCCCCCGACTCCTTGGGTTTTTGAGAGGCCTCTGTGCTCTGGTGCACGTGATGTGCTCGTGCAAAGCGCCTGCCTGCCAAGTGTGCAGCAGCCATTAGGACAGTGGCTGGGACCAGCCCTGGAGCTTGTGTGGGGACGGTCCTGCCTGCCCCGTGTCGGCGGGGCCCAGTGGGAGAAGCCGATCACTGTGACCTGTGGCAAGCGACTGGGGCCTCGGGCCTCACATTCCTGCATTGCGGCCACGAGGATGCTGCTTGCTTGGCACGTGGCACCAGGGCGGGCAGGGTGTGCTGCCTCGGTGCCAGCTGGCCCGGGCAGCTCTCGACTGACCTTTGTCTCTTGGGTGTTTGTTTGCAGAGCGTTCACGAGCCCACAGGCCCGAGCGAGGGTTATCTGCAGCTGGAAGAACTGGTGAAGCAAGTGGTGTCTCCTTTCCTGGGCATCAGCGAGGACCGCGGCGTCTCGGGTCCCACATACACGTTGGGTAAGGGGCCTCGGTGATCACGCTGCCCGCTGTGCTCTCCCGAGCCTGGTTGGGGTAGCCAGTGCTCGGCTTCTGACGTGGGCCTGCGCCGGCCTGTGTGCCAGTCACCTCCCTGCCTGATGATCCCCCTCCGGGGGCAGATACTGCGCCTCTGTGGTATCGCTTGTCTCGTTTGCATCTGTGATCGCTGGCTTTGATCTTTTCCTGTGGGCCTGCGATGTAAGTGCTCCCTGTACGTGAGACCGGAAACTGTGCCTTCTGCACGCCCCACACGCGCTCGCGTGGAGAACCCACCCGTGATGGATTTTCCCTGGAAGGGAGCTTGAAATGTGAAGCCGACTCGTTTTGCGCGCGGCCCGATGAAATGGAGCTGCGGCCGCCTCCTCCTCGTCAGAGGTCCCGCGGGGCTCAGCATCCTCAGCATCCGGGCGGCGGCGGTGAGGCCTTTATATAAAGGCACTTGGCACCCTGGAGAATCTAGAGGTGATCTGATCTGTCCCTTGTCTCAGTGCGGCCACAAACCAGATGTAGAAATAGCCAGAGAACAGACTTATCATAAGAGCTATCAGTCACTCTTTAAAGCCCCCAAAATGCAGGAACTGGGACACCTGGGGGGCTCAGTGCTTGAGCGTCTGCCTTTGGCTCAGGGCGTGACCCCGGGGTCCCGGGATTGAGGTTCCACCAGGAACCTGCTTCTCCCTCTGCCTGTGTCTCTGCCTCTCTCTCTGTGTCTCTCAGGAATAAATAAATAAAATCCTTAAAAAAAAAGAAAAAGAAAAAAATGTAGGAATTTCCCAATTTCCAGCAACTATGACCGTGGTTGGCACATAGTAGGCACTCAAAAAGCTACCTACTAGATGGTTGGCCGGTGGTCGTACCCCAAGGCGGGGGTGACTGGCACCTGTACAGGGGCGCAGAGGCGGAAAGGGGGTCCCTGGGATTGGACTCTATTGCCCGCCCCCCCCTTGCTTTAATGGCCTTGTAGCTCAGCTTCAAAGACGAGGCCAGGGGAACAGCCCCCAGCGAGGTTCCTGCCCCTCGTGGGCGCCACTCCTGCAGAGGCAGCAGGCGGGCCCGCTTAGCCGCAGTCGCCCATGTCTGGGCTGCCTTCCCTCCCTCCGGCCCCTGCTCACACCCTCATCCCAGCTGGGGGTGGAACGAGCCAGAGTAACAACGCCAGCTGAAGGAGCACCGTCCCCTGCCTCCGTTGCCGTGCCCTCCCTGGAGCCCACCCCTGGGCTCCAGCTCAGCCCACCCGCTCACAGCTCGCCAGGCTTGCGGCGGGAGGCCCCAGGCAGACGTCAGGGCACAGGCAGGTACGCGGGGCCACGGCAGGGACTTGGCGGTCGGCCGGGCCGAGGTAGATTTGGAAGTCTGTTGGGGGGGGGGTACTTGCTCTGAGAGGGGCTGCCTATGGCTTTCCAGTTAAAATCAGAGGGGTGCATACCTTTGCCAAATCACAAAGCAAAGGAAGGTGTGTGAGATTTTCTTAGACACCAAGGACAGTCCTCCCATCTGGGCTGCAGTCTCAGGAGGCACAGGGGGAAAGAAAATGACTTTTTTTTTTTTTAAGATTTTATTTATTTGAGAGAGAGAGAGAGAGCGCGCACAGAAGGAGGGGGAAAGGGGAGGCAGGCTCGCCGCTGAGCAGGGAACCCGACGGGGGCTCGATCCCAGGACCCTGGGATCATGACCTGAGGGCAGATGCTCCACCACTGAGCCACCCGGGTGCCCTGATTGTTTTATTATTATTATTTTAGCAGATGGGTACGGAGACCCTCCCCCAGGAACCCTGTGAGGTGAGGGGCAGCGGCTACACCCGTGCCCACAGCTGCCCCATCCCTGCCCTGTGGTGCTGGCGGCCCCGTGAGAAAGTCATAAGCAACAGGTCACAAACAATTCCTCGTTAGCGGACAAGCGCTCTGAGCGGGGGATGTACATCAGCCACAGGGCCTGGCCTGGGAAATCAGGGGAGGCTCCCCAGGGGAGGTGATACCTGAGGAGGGCCCCGTAGGGTGAATTTGAGTTCATCTGCCTTCCCTGTTTGCTCGGCTACCCCAAGCGAAGGGGAGGCCCCGCGGGGTCGGGGGAGCGCTGAACAGGAGGTCGGAGCATCGGAGGAACCGAAGGACCATCCAAGTCCCCAGGTGGCTGGTGGCAAGGGAGGGCTCAGGCCACAGGCGACGTCTTGGGCACAATGCTGGGCGGGCTGGGTACCACAGAGTGGGCCCCGCTGTCCCGTCCTGCAGGTGAGGCAAATGAGGATTGAGGTCATGCGGCTGTTGGAGCTGGGACATCAGAGCCGCAGGCTGTCCGTCCTGCACGCCCAGCCCACCCACCCTGGCCGCTCCTAGAAGGTGACTGTGGCTTTACTGCTGGTCCTTCCCCCTCATTCCTTAGCCTGGCAGGGGCCCGGGGCCAGACGTCGCACCCCCAGCCCCTTCCCGTTGGGGACACGCCTGTGCCAGAGCAAGTGAGGGCTCTCTGGGCCTCAGTCTTCGCCTCCGTGACATGGAGACCGTAACCTCCGCCCTGCCTGCAGGAGGTCTGGAGGAAGAGTGAAAGCTTTAAAAAAAAAAAAAAAAGGCATTTTCAGAGGCCAGGCCTGCACCCCACCTTTCTAGTTAGCAAAGTTTCCAAGCTGCTGCCCTGGCTGCCCGCGGGGCCCCCGGAGCCAAGGCTCAGGACACCCAGCTCGCTGTTTGTCCCGCGCAGGCCCCGGCCGCCCACGGTCTTCCTGCACCGCGGCTCCAGGCACGGACTCCTGCTGGTGACAAGTGGGCACTGAGGGCCGGGCGAGGTGCCCACGCGGCATGGGATGCACGGAGGCCAGGGTACCCGCTGCGGCCAGCCTGGGGGCTTCTCTGGGGCTTTGAAAGGAGCTGCCGTCGCTGGCCCCGGCGTGGGGGCTGAGTGCCGGAGCTCAGTGGGGCGCCCGCGAGTCCCGAGGAGTAGAGGCCCCGGGCCCCACCCCGCGTGAAAGGCAGGAGGAGGAGGACGTGGGTGCTGGCCGAGGCTGCAGGACGTGGCTCTTCCCTCGGCTCAAAGGGCCCCACTGCAAGGACAGGACCCATTCCAGTCCCCAGGGGGTGCTCACTGCTTGGTCTCTCTCTCTCTCTCTCTTTTTTTAAGATTTTATTTATTTATTCATGAGAGACAGAGAGAGAGGCAGAGACACAGGCAGAGGGAGAAGCAGGCTCCATGTGAGGAGCCCGATGCGGGACTCGATCCCAGGACCCTGAGGTCACGCCCTGGGCCCAGGGCAGATGCTCAGCCCCTGAGCCCCCCAGGGGCCCCGAGGTCAGTGTCTGGGAGCGAGCCCTCCTCCTGTGAGCGGCAGGGCCCAGCCTTCCCTGCCCGGGGAGGACAGCAGGCAGTAGCAGCGTGGGCAACTGTCTCCGCACCAGGCCCAGCGTGTGGCCCGAACCACCGGGGACGCAGCTGACGGGCTTGTCTGAGGCCGACTCTGGAGCCTGGTGGGAGCTTGTCGAGGAAGCACCGTCTGCCCAGGGGACTCGGCACAGCCTGGCGGTCCCTGTGGTCTCTGCTGCGGCCACACCCAGGCTTGGGAACCAAAACATTCCACCCGGAAGGCAGAAGAAGGAGTCCTGGGCCTGTCCAGTGAGTCATCAGCAGGCATCGGCCATCGGGAGGCAGGCGGGGCCCGCAGGGCCTCGGGACCGCAAGGGCCGGGCTTCGGCGGTGCGGCCTGAGCGAGAGGGCTGAGCACAGAGGGGGCAGAGGCGCCCCGTGTTCGGGCCCCAGCCAGAGGGTGCCCTGGCCTCTGGGGACTCGTTCCGGGTGAGAAACTGTGGGTGCCGCGCCCCCCGGGGCCCCAGACCACATCCTGGGCCTTGCCGGGCTGCGTCGTCAAGCCCGAGTACTTGCCATCTCCCCCTTAGACCGTCCGCTGGTTGAGGACGGGGAGCACCCGGCACCCCAGGCCCCAGCGTAGGTCTCTGCTGAATGACTGAGTGTCCGGGTCCCATCTGTCTGTCACCCTGGAGCCGGTGCATCCGAAATGACTCCTCTTCATGACTTCTCGGCCTCCGGGCTCCCCAGGGAGCTCCTGTCTTGACCTCTACCCTGACCTTAAATTTTTTCTTTTTTTTTTTGGTTCCACCCGAGGTAGCATGCAGCGTTGTGTTAGCTTCAGGGGTGCACTCCAGTGATTGGGTGACCCCATGCTGGTGGACCTTGTTCTAACAGTGACTCGTGTGCAGGCCTCCCAGGGGCCTCGGGTCCCGAGTCCCTCACCGACTGGCTGCCAAGTCATGTAGCATCTTGACCTCAGGTCCCTTTCCTGCAAAATGGCCAGACGACGAACGTGTCAGTGAAGCACCTCCCTTGTTGATCCGGGGCGAGCACTCGTGAGCACTCAGTGAAGGACGGCCCCCGAGACCCCGGCCCCCAGGCACGTACGTGTGCGCGCTGGGCTCAGGCCCCCGTGGCAGGCGCCGTGTCCGGTCCCCGTTTCTCCTTCTCAGCAGCGAGCGCCGTGTTTCACACGTTGCAGGTCAGAGGGTCCGTGGAAGGGGACGGGGGCAGGTGTCCTGGGGCCCCCACTTGCTGGCGGCCGCCCCTCACTGTGGCTCCAGCTTCAGCAGCCGCTGCAGGGGGCCTCTCGTCTTTGCTGCCTGTCACACCCCCAAGGACCGCGGGCTTCTGGGCCAAGGGCGTCCAGGCCCCCATCTGGAACGGCCTGCCTGGCTCATTCGACCCGGGTGGGGCCCCGGGAAATAAGAGGCGCCGTGTGTGCCCCCCTCCCCCCCGCTTGCTTCTAACAGCGAGCCAGGGACCACCGAGCTCTTCCAAGGGTGTTGTTTGAAGGATGGTTCTTTAATGGGATCCCTGCTTCTCCGGGCCCTTCTGGTGCTTCTATCTCAGTTACCGACTCCTGTGATCCTAAGGGTAACACATGGTTATTGTAAAACCACGGGGGGACGCATAGGGATGTCGAGGGCGTGAGCACCGTGCTTCGGGAGAACTCGGCCGACGCATGGCGTGGGGTCTTCCTCCGTGGTTGCTCCTTGCCCTCCTGTCTCCTGTTCATTCCTCCCAAAGAGAAGGGCTGCCCACCTGGCCCCAGCCCGTGTGTGCCGAGCCCCTGGGGGCCGCATTTGCTGTTCCGGGTGTCGGAGGGCAGCAGCCGGGCTGTGGGGCTGTGGGGCTGCCGTGGGGCTGCTGTGGGGCTGTGGGGCTGCCGTGAGGCCGGTCTGGGCGCTGCGTTCAGGGGCTGCAGGCGTGGCGCCGGGCCTCGGCTTTCCTCCTCTGAACGACGGGGATGGTGAGGAGGCCCTGGTGTTTCGGACGCAGCTGGGGGCTCAGCAGTGAGGAAGCGGGTGGGAACACCCAGGAAAACTCCATGTATTTTTCTTTGGGGTTGAGACATGATTATCGTTACCTGCCAGATGGCTCCCTTGGGGCCCAGGGCCCCCGACTTGGTGACTCAGCCCTAAGGCTGAGGGTTTCAGCCTCCTGTCCTAGTGCGTGTGTGCACGTGTGAGGACGCACATGGGTGTCAGTGACAGGAGCCGCGAGCGCCTTGTGGACGCACACGGCAGGTCTCTCTGCGACACCTGGGGCTCTGGAAGTGGGGACGGTGCGTGGGCCCCGCGATCCGCGGGAAGAGCCAAGTAAACCAACACGGAGTGGGCGCGTGTCCCCAGGGACGGTCCCAGAGCAGCACTGTCCGCTACCCCGTGGTCGCTGCTGTGGTCCTGTTGGTGTGCAGGGCCCCCTCCCTGCCTCGCTCCCCACGGCGGCGCACTGCAGCACCTGCTCACACACGCAGCGTGTCCCTTCGGCCTTCGGGGGTCTTCCTGCGTCTCCGGGACACGGGAGCCATGGGAAGCGGCCGGAAGGCTGGGAGAGGCCTGCACTGGTAGGAAGACGGAGGCTGAAGGAGCCCCCTGGGTCCTCAGCCCTCCACCCCGGCCTGCCCCTCGGGGGCCCTTCATCCAGCCCCTGATCCGGGCGCAGGGCCTGTGAGGGAGCCGAGGCGGGCTGCCTCTAGAGGGGCGTGGGCCCTCACCTCCCTGAGACGGAGGGGATGTAAGCCTGGCGTGGTCCTGGCTTTCCTCGCCCCCCGCCCCTCAGGCCCCAACCCAGCACAGCCCCCTGGAGCACGGCCCCCGCCTGCCCCGGGCCCCCACAGCTTGTCTGACCACAGGTGGTTCCGTCTGGCTTCAAGGGCCCTCCTGTGACCAAGGGCCATCCCGCCGGCACGCATGCATCTCCCCTGTTTCACGTCTACCATGTTCCCACCGTGCTGTGGCTGTGGCCTGACGGTGCACCTGGCTCAGCACCTGGCTCAGCACCTGGCTCAGCACCTGACTCCTGCTGTTCCTGCAGCTCACAGTGCTGTCCCTTCCCCTCCCAGGAGTAGTGGGGCTCAGTGTACCTCCTCCCTGACACGTGGATGTGCCTTCTCCTGCCCCTGCACCCTGTGCACTTGGCCTGTCCTTCCCTGGAGACGCTCACCTGTCCTAGTAAGGTGTGCTTCGTGTGGCCACATAGGCAGAGCCAGGTCCGCTCGCCTAACCCTCAGCCGTACTGCATCCTTGCTGTGTGCACGCAGGTAGATTATTAGCCACTCTCCCCACCCACCCCCCGACACTCCCATTTCCTCAAGTAGGAGCTAAGAACATACCGTGAGTTAAGCTCAGTTTTTAGGAGGAGGCAAAAGACGAGTGCATGACGAGCCTTAGTGTACGTTCTGGAATGCGGGGAGAGCTCAAGCAGCGGCTCTGCAAGGACTCGTGTCCGGCCCTCCTCTTGGTGTCTGCCTCCGCGGGCCCCCCTGCAGCCTGGCCTGCTCCTTGATGGTGCCAGCGGCTGCCGGAGTCGAGTGTGCCTCGAACAGAACGCAGGCCTCAGCCCTGGACCTGGTGGGGGGAGCGTGGCGGGCCCGGTCAGGATGATTTGGGGGATGCCCCCCTGCCCTCGCTTCCACAGCTGAGGTCCCCTCGGTTAAGCTGGACATAGGCTCCCAGGGAGAAGCTCACCCGCTGAGCTCCACCTTACCCGCTGTTGCCAGGGGGGCCACTTCTGGCTGCACGGAGCCAGAGGGCTTCTTTGGGGTTTTTTTAAGATCTTATTTACTTATTCATGGGAGACATGGAGAGAGAGGCAGAGACACAGGCAGAGGGAGAAGTAGGCTCCGTGCAGGGAGCCCGATGTAGGACTCGATCCCAGGACCCCAGGGTCATGGCCTGGGCGGAAGGCAGCTGCTCAGCTGCTGAGCCCCCCAGACATCCCCGAGGCTTCTTTCCGAGCTGCTCAGCCAGTGCCCAGACCCTGGAGGAGACTGGTTGAAAGGGAATTTAGGGCAAATGCAGTGAAGCTCGGGCACAGCTGGGAAAGGGGAGATGCCCTCCCTCCCAGTGACAGGCTATGCGGGTTTTTCTCTTGTAGCCCGACGCCACTCGAGGGTGCGGCCCAAGGTCGCCGTCCTGAGCTACGCCTCCCCGACTGTGGCCACCAGCCGGCCGCCCCCCGAGACGGCGCTGACGCCGCTGACGGAGCAGGAAGGCGAGGCCTACCTGGAGAAGTGTGGCAGCATCCGGCGGCACACGGTGGCCAATGCCCCCTCGGACATCCAGCTGCTGGCCATGGCCACCAGGATGCACCCGGGCCTGGGCGAGGAGCCTGGTGGCGACGACAAGTGCCTGCTCCTGCCGCCCAGCTTCTCCCCACCCCACCGACAGTGCTCCAGCGAGCCCAACATCACCGACAGCCCTGACCAGCTGGAGCAGGTGACCGGGGGCAGCCAGGAGGACGCTGAGCTCAACTGTGCTTCCCTGAGCTGAGTGCCCACCTCCGGGTTCCCTGCGGTGGCCTGGCCACCCGTGTGAACACGGCTCCCATCCCTGGGGCTCCCGAGGGGTGTCTCCCGGGGGCGCCGCTGTCTCTGTCTACCTGCGGATCTGCCGGGCACAGGCCGGGCCCCGGTGGCCTGGGGGGACCCTGCTCATGGACCTCTCCATTTTCCTGACTGTGACCACGTCTTTGCAGCCACGCAGGCCCAGACCCGGCTGCCTGCTGCTCACTCTCTGCTTGCCCGACTCCAGAGCCTCCTCTCTGGGCTCTCCCCCCAGAGGCATCTGACGCTGCTCCCGTCCCCTGGCATGACGACAGCAGGGATGTGTTGGTGCCTGGAGTCCCCCTTTAGGTCCCCGTGGTGCAGGCTCCCAGTGAGAAGCGGGGCCTCGGCCCCCCTGTCCTGAGCCTAGGGAAAGCAGGTGGCAGCCCCTGCCTAGCACGACTCCAAGGGCGCACCTTCCTTGTCTCAGTAGTCTCAGAACTACTGGGAAGAGTGGTCCCTCTGGTGGGTGAGGGTCATCCTCACCTGTATCCAGATCCTACATGCCGCCCCTAGCCTTTGGCCCCGGAGGGCCGCACGGCTGGAGAAACCCCCTCTCGGAGGAAGCCTCAGCGCTCCCCTCTCCGGCCTCCTCCCAAGCTCGGGGAACAAACCCCCCCAGTGGAGTAGCTGGTGCCTTCATTGCTCTCTCTTTTCAGAAACTGGTTGTTTTCCTGTCATGGGTTAGGGACCAGCTGATGCCAACCAGTTAGTCTGTTCCTGGATTTGACTTGAATTTTTAAAATGTGCATTGTTTCAAAAAAAATTTTTTTTTGTTTGCAAATATTTGCACGTAGGATCTTGCACTGCTCATTTCCAGGGGGGAGGTGTGTCTTCTTCAAAGTTGAACCTGAACAACCCCCGCCCCTCCCCGCCCAGGAGAGGAGCCTGCAAGTGGTTCAGGGTGCAGGGGAGCTGGGGTGGGTGGGGCTCGTCAGCCGCAGAGCGCTGGACGCAGCTGGACCGGAATCCAGATTGGCCTCCCCTTGTGAGCGTCATGGCCCGTAGCACGGAGGTAGGAAGCCTCAGTTTGCCTCAAGAGTAGAGGGGCCTAGCAAGTGGAACGTCTTAGGGCAAGATGGGGGCGATGTGGGCGATGTGGGCAGGCCCCTTTTTTTGGAGAAATGTTCATTGCCTGTGATTACAGAAGTGCCCAGAAGTGCCTGGAGTTTCTCACATCCGAGCTCTCAAAATGCTGTCCGGGGCAGCGGGCTTTGGTGCTGCGCTGCATCCTTGACACTGCCCTCTCCGGGTTCCGGCTTCTTATCCACCTGGAACCCTTGTTCTCTTTCTGTTTGCCTGTTGGCCCCGCTGACAGCAGCTCCAGAAAAAAAAAAAAAAAAAAAAAAAAAAAAAAAGCTTTCCTGAATGCTTCTGGTACCTTCTGGGGGTCCCGCCCCGCTGGTCTTTGGAAACTGTTAATGACCTCCCGGAGACGTGAGGCCGCGTGGCTTCCAATATGGCAGGAGGGAGCTGGGAGGGGACGGGGACACTGAGCTGCCAGCAGGGGAAGAGGCCTTCGAGGCCTATCTAAGCCTTGACGGCACATCCCTTCCGGGTGAAGATCTGGAATGTGACCGGGGTCGTGCTCTGGAGGGCTCGTAATTCGGAAAGTTTGTTGAAAGAGTTGTCTCGTTTTTCTTCTCCGGAGAGCGTGGGGAGGAGAGATGTCCGAAGGAGACCCTCTGAGAAGGTCCAACAAAAATGATCCCTGTGCGGGTGTTGGACAAAGTCCACGGACTGACCGATGTGACGATCCGTTTGCCCGATGGTGTCTGTCCTCACTGGTGACACTTAGCACTTGGGACTAGTGTCTGGGGGTCCGGGCCAAGGCGTTAGCCACGCTCAGTTCACAACATTCACGACGACAGATGTGCTTTTAAATGCCTTGTCCCTACGCTGGCCGGCCCCGAGCAGGACAGCGGCCGTCAGTTAAACGCGTGAGCGCTCAGGCCGAGCGCGGGAGCGCCAGCCCCGGCCCGTGTCCTCACCTGCTGATGGCCGTTAGCCACTTTACAGCTTCACCTGGACGCCCGTCCTGATAGTGCACAGCGGGCGTCTCAGACCCTGCTCGGAAGATTCTGTGGGATGTTTAGGGGCTGGTGAGCCGTCGGGGACATTTGCGAGGGCGATGGCTGTGGCATCTGCAACCACCTCTTCTCTGACCTTTATGAGATGCAGCGGGGATCTCCTGGCGGCTGCGTTTTACTGCCAGGAAGCGATCTCAGCTCCGAGCTCTGAGTGAGCTCACAGCCCAAAAGCCTTCCCGTGTTGCCTGTTTCCAAAATAGATTCAATAAACAGCGTGTTGTGCACGTCATCCCGTCCCCATGCTGTGCGGCAGGCGCCACGGTCCCCTGGCTCTTCGTGCGTCCTGCCCTCACGCTCTCCGGGCCGCCTCTTCCTGCCTCCGTGTCTCTTTTCCTGTTGCCTCTGCTCCAGGATCGGGCGGTCTTACCTCAGCCAGTGTCCCCTGGGATCTGCTTGCCACCCTCAGCTGGAAGGGCCAGACATTTCCTGGACTGGCAGCCTGTCTGCCGAGCTTGGCAACCACTGAGCGAAGTCTGGGAAGGCCAGGCCTCGTCTACCAGCGGCGTGGGCTGCCCCCAGGGGGCTCGACCCAGGCGGGCCCCGCCGTGGCTGCTAGCAGGTTTTTTTTTAATTTTATTTATTTATTCATGAGAGAGAGAGAGAGAGAGGCAAAGACACAGGCAGAGGGAGAAGCAGGCTCCATGCAGGGAGCCTGACATGGGACTCGATCCTGGGACCCCAGGATCACGCCCTGGGCTGGAGGCTGCGCTAAAGCACTGCCCCCCCCCCCCCCCCCGGGATCCCGGGCTCTCTCCATACACACGCCTCCGTCTGCATCTGGCAGAGGGGAGCCCGTAGCCTCGTGCTGCCTGTGGTCTTCCTAGGAGGCCGCAGCAGGGTTGGCCTGAGCTGGAAGCTCGGCGGTGCGACGGGGATCTGTGACCCCAGCTGACTGGCCACCCCGGGGACGCAGAGCGGGGCGCCGACATGTGCACTGAGGCTTCAGAGACTGCAAGGCGCCAAAGGGCTGTGGCTCGGGGCCTTCCCATCGCTCGTGGGCCTGATCATCCTCCGAGCGTGAGCGGAGCTGCTGCGGTGCTGTGGGCCGCCCGGGTGCTGGGGACGCGGTGCCCCGGGAGACACCCGCTGGGGGAGGCTGGCCGTCGGGCCAACACCCGGGGTATCAAGTCACAAAACGCGGGGCTGCCGGTGAGGTGCGGGCTGTGGCGGCTGCAGGAGGTCTCGGTGCGGGGACTCGGACGGGGCCAGCCTTAGTCGGCTGCTGCGCCCTGTCACTGCTGCCACGAGTGGCCACGCACCGGCCCGGCCCTGAGCGGCGTAAACCGACACACATTTGTTCTCAGGGTCTGGAGGCCGAGGCCTGACGCGGGTCCCGCGGGGCTGCGCTCAGGGTGTCCACGGGCCGCGCCAGCTGCAGGCTGGGGGAGGCCGTTCCCGCCCCTTTGCCAGCTTCCGAGGCCGCCTCGGGCCACCTCCTCCAGCGTCAAAGCTGCCAAGGGTTGGGCGGGGGGCGGGGGGGACCCCTCTCGCATGGCGCGCCCCGGCCCACCCACATCTCCCTCTCCCTCCTTAAGGCCCCGGGATTCCAGCGGGCGCCCCGACTGCGCAGCGCCGTCTCCCAGGGCCGGGGGGCGCTGCCTCGGCCACCCTCACCCGCCGGGGCGTCCTCGGTCCGCAGGACAGCAGCCAGCGCGGGGTGTGCAGGGGCCCCGCCGCCATGAGGCTGCAGGTGGCCTGCGGGTGCGGGTCCCCGCGTCTCCCCGCCCGGACACCCACGCCTGCCGCGTCTCCTGCTCCATCCTCCTCGGCCTTCTAATGCACGAGATGGTCAGGCCCCTGCCCGGCCTCCTGCCACCGGGTACTCCCGGCCTTGTCCCCACATTCCATCTCTCCCAGGGGCGTCCACTGCGGACATTCCTAAAACGGACTTCAAAGGTCTCCCAGGCTTCGGGGACAATCCACACCCCGGAACATGACCCCAGGGTTCTTTCCAGGCCGTGTAGCCCCGTGCCTCCCCGTGCACAGGCGGCAGACTCTGGACCGTTCCTGCCTGGAGCCGCCCCCACACCCCCACCTCGTCCCTGCTGCCCCGTCTCCCTGGGGGCCCTACCCACCGCCGAGAGCTAGAGGTCGGGCGGCCGAGGAGCTAATGGGATGGTGGTGGTGGGTCTGATGGCTCCTCCTTTCCTCCCACGTATTTGTACAAAGACCTGCACCCCCTTTCCTTGCTCCGCAGGCAGAGGCCTTCCCCACGCGGCTCTCTAACCACGTTGCAGGCAAGGCGGCGGGGCCCAGTGACCCGGGAACACCGGTGGGGGCCGGGCCCCCGCCGCGCCCCGCGGCCCCTTCCCTTCCCTCAGCTGCCAGCGGCAGCCAGTCCCCGTAGGCCACGACCCCTGCCACAGGGCACTGCTGCCTTCCTGGCCTGTCCCCCATAGGTGGTGACAGATGTCTTCAGGGGTGGAACCTGTGCCTGTTGTGGCCCAGGGCCATCTCGTTGAGGAAGTTCTCCTGCGGGGCTGTTCCCGGCCCGAACCCAGAGGACAGGCCCCACGGAGGGGAGCTGCAGCCGTGGCCCTGGTGTGCCTTGGTGTGCCCCGCGCTGCACAGGCCCTCGCAGCCACCGCCCCTGGTGCAGAAGGCTTGGGCCCTTTTACCCCACGTGCGGGCATCATCCTTCCTCTATTCCACGAGGTGTCCTGGCTTGGAGGAGGATGAGGAGCAAGACAACGAAACCAGGGGCATATCCTCCTCAGCCGGCCCCACACGGAGCTGGTTTCAGGGTTTCCAGAGAATGGAGAAACAGCGCTGCCTCTCTTTGCTCTTCTCCAGCCACTTTTTTTTTTTTTTTTTAGATTTTATTTATTTATTCATGAGAGACACAGAGAGAGTGAGAGGCAGAGACACAGGCAGAGGGAGAAGCAGGCTCCATGCAGGGAGCCCGACGCGGGACTTGATCCCGGGACCCCGGGATCACACCCTGAGCCAGAGGCAGGTGTTAACTGCTGAGCCACCCAGGCGGCCCTCCAGCCACTTCTAAAAAAAAAAAAAAAAAAAAAAAAAAAAAACAAAAAAAAACACCTCATGGGGGAGGGAGTGGTGGTGGTGGTGGGCATTCTGCTGTCCCTGAATAGCCGATTTCCTACACAGAAAAGATTTCAGTGGGTCTTTTTCTTTAAAAATTGATAAGTTTAAATTTGGGTTTAAAAATAGTATTTTAATGAGTTTAATAATCAGCAGTCATTTAATGAGTAATTCAGTTAATAACAGTCTTTAGAATCAATATTCAATTTAAGATACAAATTTAAAAGCCTTTCTTAGGCTTTTTAAGGTCAACTTACAAATTTTATTATTCTATTTATAAGTCTAGCAGATTTCTAGTATTAATGTTGGAGGAGCTTTTGAATAATGCTTGGTCCTATTTACAAGCTTAGCTCAGCACTTCAAACACTTTTAAATACATTTATAAATTTAATATTTCTTTTCTAAGTACTTCAGTTTTTCTGACAGCGTATAAAATCTTCCCCGAGCGTAACTTCTTCATGAAGCTAATAAATTAAACTTGTAAATAAGGGAGACTTTACATGTCTTTACACTCTACTTCAGCTTGGAGGACACCATAAAAAAAAAAAAAAAAAAAAAACACAAGCCTTAATTAATTACTCAATTATACATCTTAAAATGGAATTATAAAACTGTCACCAAACAGGGCCTTATTCTCCTAAATGTCACGTGTCTAAAATACCAAGTACATGCATAGATTCCTCCCGAATAGAGAAGTCTCAGTGCCCTAGTGGGTTCCTTTTAAATCTTCCCACACTTGCGTCTAAGTCTTCCTGGCGTGTTGGTTGGTAAGCCGCTGTCTCTCAGCTTCGAGCCTTTTCCGTGGTTTGAGATGCTGGGGCTGGAGGTAGGCCCACGCCCTCAGGTCCGCTTTGCGGGCTGCATCCCTGCTGGGCTCTGGCTGCGGGGGGGGGGGGGGTCCTGTGTCCTTGCCTTGGTCCACACCTGGGGCAGGACAGGTGGGTCCAGGGGCAGCGGCAGGGACGTGTTTGCAGCTTTTCCTCACTCGCACGCAGCCTCGGGCCCTCCTCCAGCCCTGTCGGCCGTGCCACCCCCAGCTCGGCCTTTCGTGGCGCATCTCCCAAGAGTGGTACTTGCTTCCTGCACTGGGCACCTGGGGGACTCCTCTGCGTCTCCTCTTGGCCATCGGACTCGTCCGGTACCCGATTAACGGTTCTGTATGTTAAACTCCCTGTCGGACGGTAGGTGTGGCTTTTGCCTCCTGACTGGACCCTGGCTGATAAACCACCGACCCTCTCGGTTCACCCAGGTTACTCAGAAATTTCCTGTGGGGATGCGCCCCAGAGCGGGGACACGCACGGCGATCCTCCTCACCCTGACCTTAGGGCATCAGAACATCTCTTCAAGTAACTGTGGTGACTGTTCCTCACATCCTTGAACTTACTGGAGAAGCACATTTGACTCTTGTCAGAATCCCCAGAGACGCTGGGTGCTGTTTAGGATTGCTTACTCCGTAACTTCATAACCTAAGAGAAGCGAGCTCGCAGGCAGCCGTCTTACCCAATTGCCTAGATCTCCGGTCTCCCTTCAGAACTATGCCGCCCTCGCCGAGTCACACGTCACATTGGTTCTTATTTTCCATGGTCCTTCGGCCTAAGTCTGGGCCTCTGAGAAGAATCCCAACCACTGTAAATATAGGCTTCTAAATTCTAGCATGTTCTCGGGGCCACATAACTTTGAACAAACGCCTAAACTTCAGCCTGATATCAATTAAGTATCTCAGATAGCTTTGTCTAGGGGCCAACTTTTTAAAAATATATATATTTTATTTATTTTTGAAAGAGAGAGAGAAAAAAAGCATGAGCCGGTGGATGGTGGGGGAGGAGCAGAGGGAGAGGGACAAGCAGACTCCACACTAAGTACGGAGACCGACTCGGGGCTCGATCCCATGACCCTGAGATCATGACTTGAGCCGAAACCAAGAGCTGGACGCTTAACCAACTGAGCCAGCCAGGTGCCCCTGGGCGCCAACTTCAAAGGTCACTCCTCTCCCCCGTTGAGTGATGTAGGATCAGGTGAGCTGCCTGCCGACGGGGACTTCTGGGGCCCACCCACTTTAAGGCAGTTTTGAGAAGGGCTCCAAAAATGGAATTAGTGTAACCCTTCTGCTTTGGGCCAGAGGGGAATGGCTTGTATCAGATTAATCTTCCTGCCAAAATAATGATAAAAGTCGGACACAACATA